ATGCACAGAAGCAGAAAGTAGAATGGTGGCTGCCAGGGCCTGGGAGGAGGGAGAAATGCAGAGTTGCTGTTCGACTGGTATAAAGTGTCCATCACGAAGATGAAAAGGTTCTAGAGATCTGCTGTACGACGACGGGCTTACAGTTAACAACGCCATGCTGTATACTGAAAAATTTGTTAAGAGGGTAGATTTTATGTTATGTGCTTTTTATAACAAAAAAAGGAAGTAAATCATCCAGATAATATTTTAAAATGTTTGAAGGCACATGGCTAAAAGACATGCACTTTACTGTTAAGTTAGAGGATAACCATTTTAAGGTCAAAGAACTCTGAAAATCTGATGATCCTCCCCCAGGAGGAATAAATTTACCCCCAATTCCCAACCATAAAGTCCAACTGAAGGGTCCCATGTTAATTTTTTAAAATATGAATATGCTATGTGATTATGATTCCTAAGTATGAAAAATGCATAGAAAAAAGCCTAGAAAAAATGGTCTTAAATGTGACTAGATATGATGGGATTATGAATGACTTTATTCTTTTCTCAAATATAAAAATTATTATTATAATACCACTACAGAGGGAAAAACCATATCTAATACTGCTTGTAACAAACCAATAATTTAGTCTTTTTTGGAAATTTGTCAAAATGAAATTTATCTTTAGCACCCTGAAGGAGTGAATGTAACATCCTGCAAACCAAAAATGTGTCTCTTCACAGGGAGAGCCTTGCGATGGAGGTGTAGCATACTAAGAGCACATAGCACTAGGTCTGTGTAAAGTAACGGATCACTGACAGAAATGCGTCCCTCCCACGTCAACCTTGTCCAGCTGGGCAAGAGCAGGGCAGGTGAGGAAGCACGTTTTCCGGGAAAGTGGAAGAAAAAAACTGAAGCTAAAAATCCACTAAACAGTATATCGCAATACAACATAACATTACATAGATAGAGATACAGAACAGAGCTGAACTTGCCCTTCATTTGTCCAGCATTACATGAGTGAAATTTTCTTGCATAAAATGGAGAAACTCTCTTTAAACTCAAAACTCCTATTTTAATCACATTAAATGGGAAAGTCCTCTAATGGTCTAAAGATTTGTCTTCTTCAACTGTGTACCCAGTTCTTGAAAATCACCAGCATGATTAAGATCCTAATACCCCTAGTCATTCTCAAAAAGAGGTGAACAGTGAGCACATAATCAATGCACTGTAGTGAGAGACCAGAGGGGGAAGACTGATTCTGGGACAAGGAGAGCACAGGCTTCCTGGTGGTGACTTGCAATGGTGGGGGTGAAGGATGAGGAGGACTGCCTCAGAAGAAGCAAAGAGGGAAGGTGAGAAGAATGTTTCTGGAACAGTAAGTGGACTGTTGGAAGGATCTAGAAAAAAATGAAAAGTTGGGTTAGATCATGAGGGGTCCTGAAGAACTATCCAAGGAGTTGGTACCTTCCATAGGGTTGGAGACACTGCTGCACTTCCTTGGGAGGGGAGTAACACAATTCGATTTGTAGTATGAGCCTATGGGCTGCTTCCTCCTTATAATCTGCTGCAATCTAAAGCTTCAGAAATCCTCATGTTTAGAATCTAATGGCTTCAGAGGCTCTCCTTCAGAACGGAGATCCATGGCTTTTTACTATTGTTATTTATTTATTTATTTAGTTTTCGGTACGCGGGCCTCTCACTGCTGTGGCCTCTCCCGTCACTGAGCACAGGCTCCGGACGCGCAGGCTCAGCGGCCATGGCTCACGGGCCCAGCCGCTCCGCGGCATGTGGGATCCTCCCGGACCGGGGCATGAGCCCGTGTCCCCTGCATCGGCAGGCGGACTCTCAACCACTGCGCCACCAGGGAAGCCCTACTATTGTTATTTATTTCCCAGTCTTGCGATGTGGTTAGGAGCTATACTCCCTACTCCTCATGTTTGCAGGTAAAGAGAGTTCCTAAGAATAACCCTCCTGGGGTAAATAACTCATATTTATCATTGGATGTTGAAATATTAACTATGCTTACTGGGATACCAGTTGGAACTAAGATGGAAATTTATGGAAGGCAGTTCACAGTTATAATATTTGGTATTTTTTTCTCCTTCTAAGCAGACTATAATTGGGTAAAACAGCGTGTATATACTGAAAATTCCTGTGGTGGGCCACTGACAACTTCCTGTGAAAGAGAAAAAGAAGGCTATGGCAGTGTTTAAGACATGATAATATCCTGAAGAAATCTGAATTGTCTACAGGGAATTGAGTGCCTTGGGAAGGGATGTGGCCGCCATCATTTGAAGGTTCAAGTCTAGGCTGGTCTGCCACCTGGTGGGATCTGGGGGTCAGTGGAGGGAGATGTTTAAGAGCTGGATAACCCAGAATCAGTTCAGGCTCTGTCATTTACTTACTGTGTGACCAAGAGCAGATTCCTTAAGCTCTCCAAACCTGCAGTGCCCTCATCTATGTAGCAGGGATAATAATATGATACACTTCACAATGTTGTTATGAAAAATAAATGAGATGGCATATGTAGTTCAGTTAGCACTGTGCTTGCCACATAGTAAACATTAACAGAAACCAAAAATAAACATAATTATCATAGTATCATTATGAGGAGAGATTTAAGCTTAAAATGGGAAGGTATCCTACATGACATTTAAGATCCCTTCTTACAACAAGAATCTATGTGTTTATATCCTCCACTGATGTTTCATTAGAATTAAGGCTATTCTCTGCCTGAAAAGTCATATACATATATATACACACACACATACATGCGCGTGCACGTGTATGTGCATGTCTGCTAAAGTATTAGCAAGCAGTCCAACAAACAGAACACGTATAAAAGATGTTTATAGCAGCCTGCATATGGTACACGAGTACCAGAGGTTTGTGATTAATTCTGAACATATGAGGTCAGTGGCTCACAGGGCTTTTTCCCCACAGAAATGTCAATAATGAGGACGATCTGGAAACAAGTTTCCCCCTCAGCACAATCACCAACAAAGCAAAGTGATGGAGAATCAGTTTACTTACATGCCCTATCTTCTCTCAGTTTAATGATTAGAAGGTAAAGTGAAATCAAATTATTTCAACTTTTTCAAATTATTCCCATTTTTAGAAGACTTCTATTTTGCAAGTAGAATGCAGTTGACTGAGGTTAAATTCTTCCATGGCAGCTTTAAACTATTTCTTAGGGCTTCTACTACTCTTCTGGAGGCTCAACCATTTAAGACCATTATCTAGAATTAAACGACAGCTTCAATTAAGATATCTAACCAACAAGTATTGTTCCAGTTTTCTATCTTGTGTCCCAGGATTACAAGGCTCAGGTTGGTATAACTGGAAAAATTAAGATTCAGGTCCCATACTTGAGGAGCTGCCAACAAGCCAAATATTAATAATTTTAATAATTTACAAACATATAGTACTCAAGTATTTTCAAAGAACTTCAAACATATTATCTCACTTGATCTTTATCACAGAAGATAGGTGAGGCTTATATTTTTATCTTCATTTGGAAGATGAGGGAAAACTTTTGAGTTCAGAGATGCTAAACCCAAGATCCCATGGCTAATAAATGACAGAGCCAGATTTGGAACCCAAGTTTTTGTCTCAGAATCTAGGACTCTATTGCCCAATACTACTTTTAAAAGAGGCTTATTTATTTTAAGGCTATTTTATGAGCTACAGAGCTCATAAAATAGCTCTGTAGTTAGAGAATGGTATTCAATAAATATTAATTGATGACCTAAGTTTACTGTAATTCAGGACAATATTTTCATGATTAGTTTTACATTTTAACCAAATTTGAATAAACATTTTTTAACTTAGCTGAAAAAATGTTAAATAGATATATTTTATACCACCCTATATACAGTACCTAAGTCTACAAATACTATGTTGGTCATTATCCACTGAAACTAGAGTAGATAAATACATCCTTCTGCAAATATGGCACTGTGCACCACTCTTCAATTTCCTGTTTTGTGAAAAGATGACCGTGACCTGAGTAAAACCTCAGGAATGATATTAGATCACTTATCTTTGTCACTCTGGATATCAACAAATTAAAGCAGACAACTCCATAAATCATCACACAGGCACACATACACGCACCCAACCCCACCCTTTTGCTACAGTACTGCAACAAAACAAGAAAACAGCCTTCCTTTGTCATTTTTCACCAGTGAGGGTCTTCATCAGACATTTTGCCAAGAAAACCGTCTTGTAGTACCTGATGTGAACTGCAGGAGGTTTCCTAGAGGTCAAAATGTGTTTTATAATATCAAGAAACTGGAAATGGCCCTCAGCAATGTGCCTATCACGTAGTAGGTACTCAAATACAGGTAAGTCATGAACACACACTCCTCTTCTGAATAAAAGATTACAGAAATATCCTCTGCCATGATTTGACTCCCTTAAAATCAAATTCTTAAAAAAATATATGGGAAATTTTGCATATTTATAAATAGGTCAGTCATGTGGTTAAGGAGACAAATATTTCCTACTATATATATACCTATTAAAAGGGCACAAGTCAAAAGAAAAGTACTCCTTCATACTTTGAGGTTTTCCTCATTATTTGCTGGCCAATACTGATTAACTGTCATTTACTTATGGAGATACAGAATGTCATATTAGTATTTTTTACCACTTTTATTCACAACAGGGTTCATTTCTCGCATTGGTTCTAAGTAAGACTATAACTGGCGTGCAATTCCTATCAAATGCATCAACACCCTTGGGATCTCCATATTTTGCCACTTTCAGGCTTCCTGACCTGGCCTGCCTAAGCTAGGTCTATCAATTTGCCCTTACTGTATGAAGCCCGAAAATGGGCCCCAAAGCCTCTTGTTTTTTTACTTAAAAACAAGGCTAATAAGCATAGGCTCTACAGGGCCTCAACATTCATTGGTTGCAATTCATTTTTTTATAACTGGTGCATTCGAGACATGACATTGTGGTCACTGAACACTCCCTTCTATCATAACGAGTTCCTATGGGGATTCCACAGACTCACTTTTGGCACATGAGGATTGAATTCCACAGCTCTATGAATGGCCTCTACTGCATTCATCTCTGCTGTGCTCAGCCCCCGCCGAGATGCAGCCTCGGGAGAGAATCTGAAAAGCAGAAAGACAAACACCATCCAGTTGGGACCACTGCTTGGGCATTAACCTGGAAAGGCATCTACACATCAAGGGCCCAGAAAACCACAGCGAGCCAAAGGCATGAGCTCTCCAAACCTCCACTACACAGAACCTCTGAGTGACCCCTCAGACAGAGGCCAACAAAAACCCCAGCAGAAGCAGAAAGCGTGCTTGCATCTAATCGTGGCAGGAATTAAATTCAGCTGTGAAGTCTCTCTGTCTAAATAGCTAATCTAAGTTTTCTAGGAGGTACCTGCTTAGGTCAGGGGAGGGGGTAGGACTGACAAGGGCAGACAGTGTAGGAAAAAGAGAAAACTAGGTTACAGAAGAGCGCACTTGGTTAAAAACAGAACTGGGGAGAATTTTAAAGGAGGCTCCCAACCCAATGTCAGTGCTGCGATGGAGGGTTAAGTCTTGCAGCTTCAGCAGCAGGCAAGCCTGCCTGGGGCTGTTCCGGCAGGGGGAGTGTGCGTGCCCAAACTGCGGGCGAGACACCTGCCCAAGTGAATGAAAAAAACCAGACCATGCAATCTCTTTCTCACCTCACACCCAGGGCTAACTCCAGAGCTGTGCTTGGCAGGCAGACACCACAGGGGAAGCTGTGACAACCCTGGCCCTGCCCTCCCAAGCTGGAGTCGCTGTGTAGGGAGAAAAGATGTTGCAGTAGGTACTGGCGATCTACAGGATAAAAAAGAATGAAAGAAAATTACTTCGGTCTTGAAGTGCACACACACTTAACAGCAAACCTGTCTGACACAGCAGAGGCTGTTTTCTTTTCCTGTTATCTGCTTTTCAGTGCTACCGAGGGCGTGTATCGGGAAGTGTAAGCGTTTATGAACTCAAAACCAGTTAAGCCATCTATTTTCTTTCACCTGCCAGTCATCTTGGGTGTTTATGGAAATTCTCTATACCATAGTCACCTGCCTGAACAAAATGGGCAAATGTCCCACTGTGATGGTGACTCAAGGTAAACGGATCCTGGGTGGGGAGTTAGTTTGGAATTGATGAGGTAAGGAAAGGGAGATGACCATCCCCTTTTGCCATATTAATATGTTTGTTATGAATACTACCCCGTCCTGGACTGCTGGAGGAAGAGGAATATGCAAAAAAATGAATCAAAGAAGGCATTTTGATATCTACTGTCTGGCAAAAAAAAATTTTTTAAATAAAAATAAAAGTCACCTCAGAGGCATGGAGTTTCATATAAATCCCTCTTTAGGAACCCACACAGCATTACAATACCTGGCGATATACATCCCCTCCTTCTAGTAGTGAAAGAAAAGAAAATGCAGGTTTTGGAAAAATGCATGCTCATAAGCAGGGATCTCACAGACTAAGAAAAACTTGCAGAGAAAGCCCTCAGAGACAACACATCTCCTTCCATCCAGACCAGCAACTTTACTGCACAGGCTACTATCCACTTACTTGTCAGAGACAGCTCTTGCTTTGAGCAAGGCCGCTGTGTAGCATATTGTTGCCGACTTTGGTAAGCTTATATCTGTTAGAGAGAAAAAAAGTAGGAACTGTTATAAGTCTGTACAAACAAAGAGCAATGATTTTTTAATACACTAGCATTTTAATCATGTAAGCCTAAAGAGCATAAATTAAGAATATTTTAACTGTTCCTTATGTATCCAACTGGTATGTGAAACTAAGGGTAATTCATACTTTTGTGAATAATTCAAATTTCAAATCCACCACACTGTTCAGCAATCATCTTTTATTTAAAATATGGATTTTTCATATGTTGAGTTTATTTAAGCAGAGAATAGCTATAAATACATAAATTTAAATATTACATGAATAGTCTTGATATCAAGAAGGGCAAATAGGACTTCTTTGTTAACTTATAAAATTTCTCAAGAGGCACATGAAATATTAAAGTGAAAAAAATATTACCTGGATTCTTTTTTAAATATAAGGTTTTTTAGTGATAAATAAATTTATTTAAAAATTATTCTTTAGTGGTCAGATTTAAACCAGATTTCATGAAATTTATATTCAGTTTTTCTGTTAAAATTGGAAAGAGAAATTTTTATGAGGATATATTATGAAATCTTTACAAAACCACACAATTTTTGTTCATTCAAACCCATGATAAAGCCCCTTTCATATGAAGCCTAATTTGTTGCCCAGAAAAACAGTTCCTTTCAGTTTGTATAGAAAATTTCAGATGGAGGAGTGGGAACGGGTACCAGATTCAGATAGAGTTTACAGGCAAATAAAAGCACAGAGTACAACTAAGAGGAGATAAGTGCAAAGAGGGTAGTCCCTCTGGGGGCAGGGGGTAGGACTTGTTTTTAAATTATGATCCTATTTCGCACCAGAACTGTCTTTCTTTAACACTCAGACTAGGTAAAAATATGCCATTCCCAGGTGCTACAAAATTCACCGGAGGTTAGAAGAACTCTTAACACCTGGAACGCCCTCCAGGTTTCTTTCGGGCTGTTTTCAACTTTAGAAGAATTACATTACGGTAGGGATGAAAAGGAAAGTCCATAACTAGACAAAAGTCAACAGCAGAAGAAAATAATTTCATGAAAGAAAAACAATCTTTCATTCAATAATGAGTATTTACCACCAATTCCAGCATGAGGAATTTCTCTTTGAGGGAAATTTCAATGACATTGATAAAATACAAATAATCAGAGAAAATACCAACACAGAATTGAAAGGGAGAGAGGTCATTGTAACCCTGATCTCATAAATTATATTCAAACAAAATTTCAGCACCATATGCATACTGTAAAATGGTGTGCTTATGACTAAGAAGGAAAAAAAATGTCAGACACTCATGGATTTGTCTTGTTGCTTCTCCAACATCTAAACATTTAACCACTTCCCAGTATGTGAAATCAATTCAGGAATCAATTATCTTGTTTGCTGGGGCCCACTTATTGATTGTTACTGGAAGATAATAAAAAAAATTGCAGATAATACACATTCTACTTAAAAGTTCAGACCTTTTTTTTTTTCTAAACTTCAGACCTTTCATTTAAAAATTATCCAAACCCTGCTTCCACCCTTCCTGGTGTGATCTGTGTTCCTTCTGTGACAATCTAGCACCTTTCTATGAAGTGGGAACAAAGGATTAGTCCTAGAAAGGAGTTGAAACTGAAAATAATGGTCAAAATTATTCGAAGGTGGCAGCACAGATGGAACCTCACGTAATAAACTAAAGAAAACCTGTTGTTAAGGATTTAGCTTCTCAATGAGAACGATCATGTTGTTTTGAAGGTTACCTAATCAAGCAAATGAACACATTCACCCAGTTGGAAATGCAGAAAGGGATACGATTGATGTGTTCCAGCAGAATATTAGAGATGCCTAATCAAAGGCGATCTTTAATCCCCTCACACCCATAGACAGGACATTCACAACTCTGCAACGTTACAACTACTATGGTACATTTTCCCCATTAAAAAAAATTTTACCCTTACTCCCTCATTGTATGTAAAGATACTGGTATATGTGCACAGTCATAATGCTTAAAAAAATAAAGAAAAAATATTTTAATCAATATCAAATGGGAAAAGGAAGAAATATAAATACCCCATTCCCCACCAGTGGCAAGTTCATTCCATTTGTTATCTCTTTAGTATATTATTTTGCTCTCACTATTAAACAAAAATTAAAAACAGCAAACAATTCTTGCATAACTTATTTATATATTTTCAATATTTTTCTTTTAGTTCTTTCAAAGCAATACATCTATTTGGTAATGGCAATTTGTCTCTAAGGAGGGATGAATCATTATAAAGAAACTGATCCTAAATTACCCTTCAGGTAAAGCATCTTGTTCAAATAAGGTTTTTGTGTACAACATTTTTTTTTTAATGTGGCAATATAAATCAAATGCTTTAACATTTTGCCTACCCAGCAATTCTACTTCTGAGACTTTATCCTAAGGGAAATCATCACAACTGTGCATGAAGATTTAGCTTTAAGGATGTTGATCACGACATTGTTTCTAATGGTAGAAAACTGGAAACGGCCCAAATGTCAATCACAGGAGAATGGCTAAGGTGCTGCACATCCACAGGGTGCAATTCAATGCAGTCGTTAAATCATGTGGTGGAAAGTATTTTATGACCTGGGGAAATGTTGCATTGTTATGTACCCAACAATAAGTAAAACACGTTTACAAAAATTATGATTTCACATATTTTTTAAAAAGCATTTTTATGCACAGAGATAAAAAGGCTTGAACTATATATACCAAATATCAACAGTTTTTATTTCTGGGTGCTGGGATCATAGACAATTTTTTTCTATGTTTACCTGCATTTCCAAAGCTTCCTGCGACGTACACGTAATAAGTGAATTTTTAAAAGATAACAATGATGCTAAGCGGAAGAATTCTTTCTACAAATTGTCTGCAGCAAGTTCATGGGCAAATATGATACACTGGTGGAGCAAGACACAGACAGCATAAACAGACAAAGGCAGAACTTACACGAAGTGCTGTTAGCTCGCAGATGTAGAAAATTATTTATATACCTTCATGAAAGTTAGTGTATTCCTTTTGTGGTGTGCAGTTGTTAACCGTATTTTAATCTAATAAATGCCTAATATCTAAATCAGAGGCAGGACCTGCATGTTTTGGCTCACTTTTAAGAAAAAACCATATACATTACCTTTAGGAGAAAGCTAATTATTATGGGCTACTTGCCCCATGAGCCTTTTTCATTTCTTTAGGGAAAAAAAAAAAAGGCTGAGACTTGGTTGTTGTTGCCTATTATAATTATGAAACTTATTATTTTGAAATAAGTTATGGGGTCATAGGAAGTTGTGAATATAGTACACAGAGTTCTGTGAAGCTTCCTTCAGCTTCCCTCAAATGGTGACAACTCACATAACTGCATTGTAACATAAAAAAAAGAAGAAATTGACATAGGCACAGTACTATTAAGTCAATTACAGACCTTATTCAGTTTTCACCAGTTTTTACATGCATTCCTGTGTGTGTGGTTCTATGCAATTTTATCCCAAGGCTAGATTCATGTAACCACCACTACCATCAAAATACACAACTTTTCCAAAGGAACTTTCTCACACTACCCCTTTATTTGTACCCTCCCCACCCATACCTGCTCCCAGTGACCACTAATCTGTTCTCTATCTCCATAGACTTGTTTGCCTACTATGATTTTATGCTTTTGCCACCAGGGAAATGGATAAAATGGTAAGGGGAACAGGGTGACTAACCGTACTGATGAAAATGGTAGTATCAGAAGTTTTGAGCAGGAAATAACAACAAATAAGCTGCTTTCCAATATTGCTTGTAATTTATTCAGAAATTTTATTTTGAGGAAGAAACTCAAAATCATTCTAAGTCCAATTTTGTATGAGCAGACTCTAACTGTGCAGTGCTTTTCTGTCTTTTGAAAGTGGTGTGTAGCTACCATTATTGCCAGAAAGTCCCCTTAAGAATTAGAATCCGAGGAGGAAATGAAAGTAAATGAGACATCCCACACTCATTGTAGAAACAAGGAATGCTGAATAAATGTTTCTCACTTCGGCAAAGCTGAACTGTTGGCGTTAGTTTAATTTTCCTTCCATTTCTTTCCATCTTGTGTTTCATACAGATCCTTTTATGAAAGAACTTTCTCCAAGCATCTCAGGTGTACAAAATCAAATTGTTGTGAAAGTCTTTCCTTAAAATCTACAGTCTTGAGTTTCATACAACTGGAATCATAGCATGTGTACTTTCGTGTCTGGCTTCTCTCTCTCCAAATGATGTTTCTGAGGTTCATCCATGTTGTAGCATGTATCAGTACTTCGTTGCTTTTTATTGCCGAGTAGTATTTCATTGTGTGGATATACAATATGTTTATTCTCTTGCTAATGGCTATTTGGATTGTTCTCCAGTTTTGGACTACTATGAAGAAAGCTGTTGTGACTATTCTTGTGTACTTTTTGGTTAAAAAAAAAACCCTCATTTTTTCTTGGATATGTAACTGGAAATGGAATTGAGTCAGAAGGTAGATGAATGTTTAAACTGGTAGACAGTGCTCCAAAGTGGTTGTATGAAGTTTGCAAAGCTAATATATGGCGAGAGAGGTCAGAAAAAGGGTGACTTCTGGGTTAGAGGGGCAATTTTCTGAGATGATGGAAAGTTCTATGATTCTGCACGGTGATCACAGAGGTGATACATAGGTGAAAAGTCATCCCACTCTACATTTAAGATTTGTGCATGTTACAATATGCAATTTATACCACAATTAAAAAGATGAAAAAAAAAAAGCCAAACCTACAATTCTGTGTCACTGAAGCTGCCTTCTCTTACTTGCCTTTCGTCATTCTGGCCCCTCCATTCTCTCTATGCATCCTTATCTAAAAATTACTTCCTAGTTTAATAAACAGAATCCGATTATGTTTCAGGTTGGCCTTTCAAATACAAAGATGGTTAAATTATCTCCTCTAAACCTAATCCTTTCCAGAATAAATACTTCTAGCCCCTCAACTGACACAGTCTTCAGAATTTCTCACTTATTT